CTGCATCCGCGACAGCGCCATCAACCATGGCGCCCAAGAAGAAATCTGGTGCCTCGGCCCATCCATCCACCTCGAAGGCTGCACCACCTGCAGCCTCTAACGCCGTGGGGGACACGGGGTGCGCAAGGATGTGGGCGCTGCTGGGGACATGGTTGGAGCAGGTAGCACCATTACCACCTCCCCCGCGGCCGACACGGGGGCCGGAGCTATCGGAAGAGAACATCATCAGCAGCGTCTCGACGGTCAGGCTCTACAAGGTGCGGGTGAGGGGGTCACTCCGTCCGCGCCCCCTCCTCTCATCAAGGAGCACAGCCGCAGCAACGGTGCTCAGTCCGGGGCGAGCCATCGCCCCCCGGTTGCCCCCACCACGAGAGCAACCACGTCACATGTGCCTCCTCCCGGACGAGCCAACAAGACCGCTGCGCTCAACGGAGCCACTGATCTTCGAGCACCACCGCCGCGCGACCCGGCTGCCTCGGTGGTCGGCCCACAGCAACATGGGCGCGCCGCCGCCGCCGCTGGCACCATCAGGAGCTGGCATCATCGACATCCATGCCAAGCACAACCACGGGGGTATGGGCGAGCTCAGCTATTACTAAGGTTCCCACCAGGAGCCGAGCAGATGGATGAATGGCGTGCCACCATCCAAAGCCTGCTTCGTTTTGCCGAAGCGGGGGGCTCACGACGAGCTTGCCCACTGCAACCTCCCCAAGCGACAGCCACCATTCGCACTGCTGGCCGTACGGAGGGTGCCGTCCCCACGATTCAGTCCCCACCACAGCAGTCGGTGAGGGCGCGGCAGAATCAGGACCCCGACAACATCTCGATGGCCTCTTCTGACCCTCGAGCATGTCCAGGCCAACATCGAACCCCGAAAGCCAGGCGGCGGGGAGACGCATGTGTCATTGCCAAACGGTGCCGCAACGACCCCCGCCAGACCGACAGGTGCGACGGCCTCAACATCGATGAGCCTACGCTCGGTGTTGGCGGGTGCCTGCTTTTGAGGTCGGGTGCCCTGCCTTTACATGAGAGTTATGGCAAGTCCATTGGCCGTTCGTTCGCACATTCAAGCCAGCGATACCTGAGAAGTACGACGGGAGGCTGAACCCGATAGAGTTTCTGAGCATCTACACCATCGTTGTTCAGACTGCCGGGGGAAGAGATGATAAGGTGTTCGCCAACTACTTCCCTTTGGCCCTCAAGTCCAATGTGATGTCTTGGCTGATGACCTGCCGGAGAACTCCATTTCATCACGAGCAGACCCGTGCCATGAGTTCATCGGTGCCTTCACCGGTGGCCACCAAGAGCCCGACAGGCCCAACGACCTGCAGCTTCTCCAACAGAAGGAAGGAGAAACTCTCCATAAGTATTTACAGAGATTCAGTAAAGTTCATAGAAATATTCCAAATATCCATCTGACAGCCGTTATAGCAGCTTTCCAGTCCAATGTGCGCAACCACCGCATTCATTCCAAAATGAACATGCGGTTGCCCAAGACTGTGAAAGAACTATATACGCTGGTGGATAAATGCGCCCAGATGGAAGAAGGAAGGAAGTTGCTCAGAGAAGAAGATTGCATTAATGTTGATTCAGAAGATGAAGATGAATCAACCAGTCAGAAGAAGGGCAAGAAGCGCAATAAGAAGCGTAGGGATAAGGCAATAATGATTGTGGAAGGATCGGGCACGCCTAGTACTGGCAAGAAGGCCAAGGTTGAGGCTCCTGGCAAGGAAGTTGCCGCGTGCAGTGCCTGCCGGGAAGCCGCAGCTGCCAAAAAAGTTGGGAAAGGCGATGAGCCGTACTGCAAGATCCATCGGACCAAAGGCCACGCCCTTCAGGAGTGTTATCAGGTTGAGCAGCTCGTCAAGAAGAAGAGCGCACAGTATGATAAGCATGACACGGGGAAAGGTCAGAATGCTGCTGGCGGTAAGGGCCGGGGTGGTGAAGCAAATCACCCCGATAGACCCTTTCGGAACCAAGGAAAGCCCGCCAGGGGCCAAGAGAAGGAGACATGTGATGATGCCAGTGATGGAGGGGATGAAGAGGAAACTAGTGAGCAAGAATTTCAAAAGGCCACTGATGCCCTATGCATTGATGGGGCTGCATCTTTGCACAACTCTCATCGCCAACTCAAGTGATGGGCACGAGAGGTCAATGTTGTGGAACCAGCGCCAGAGGCCCGGAAACCGCTCAAATGGTCCTGCACACCCATCATCTTTGACGAAGAGGATCACCCTGATCGCACCATTGTGGTAGGGTGTTTGTCGTTGTTGGTCTCCCCAACAATTCGCAACCTCAAGGTTACAAAGATGCTAGTGGACGGTGGGGCCGGGTTGAATCTGATTTCCCCAGCAGTTATCAGCAAGCTTCAGATAGGAGAAGAAGAGCCAGAGGCCACCAGCACATTTGAAGGAGTTAATCCTGGCAGGAGTCATCCTAAGGGGAAGATTACGTTGCCGGTGACGTTTTGGGAGAACTGAACTATCGAACCGAGAAGATTGTGTTTGATGTGGTTGATCTCCCCCTGCCGTACAATGGGATTCTTGGACAACCAACCCTAGCCAAGTTCATGGCAACATCCCACTATGCTTACAACACCTTGAAAATGCCTGGGCCACTAGGGGTCCTCACTATCCCATTAGATGAGAAGGATGCAATTATCTATGTGTACAATATGTATCGGGATGCAGTTGCAACAGAAGTGGCAGCAACGACAGTTCCCGCCAAGGAAAGCAAATGAAAGAAGAGGGATTGTAGGACCTCCGCCAAGGAGTCCGGGAAGCATGCCCCCTCCGAGTGCACGGCACCTGTTGACGACATGTCGGAGTGTTCCAATAGCAAGAGATCTAAGGTTACTGCACCCTAAGTGAAGAAGGTCCCGACAGGGTTGGCTGGTGTTGATGGTACTTTCACTATCAACGCCACCCTCGATGACAAATAGGAAAGCACACTCGTTGCCTTCCTATGGTCGAATATCGATGTGTTTGCTTGGCAACCATCTGATATCCCCGGTGTTCCTAGGGAGGTAATTGTGACGCCCCAAGACCGGAGCTTCAGATGCCTTCCTTTTACATCGTTGTCGTTGTGTGTTTGAACTGTTTGTTGCCATGATCGGATGAGTGTCATTGTCATATTTTGCTTCTTGCATCATGTTCATCATTTGGTTATATTGCATTGCCATGCCCATCGTTGTCATGTTGCATTTGTGCCACTTGTATTTTTTTGCATTCTCATAATCATCAGGTGCATTGTCATATTCATGCATGTCACATTGTTGGATGCTCTATGTATGATCAAGGTAGTCAGAATCTCGACTCGACTCCTAGAATCCTACGACTTCACGATCCTACGGAACCATGTCGATCCAAGTCCCACTATGAATCCAGATCAGGTAGAATCCATGTTGATTCGCGATCCAAATCATAGAATCATGTACAAAACTATAGAATCCCGACTATGCGATGGAGTATGTCTAATTCTACTAATTTATCTAAGTAGTTTGTTTAGTTGTACCACAACAGTATGCCATCATCCAAACCATTTTCACATGCCTCATGGCCCTTTATTCCCCTCCCAAGCCCAAATGCTCAGCCGCCGACACCTTTGAGCTGGCTCTCAAAACCTAGATCAATATTGAGGATCAGACTTGTTAACAAATGAAATTGGTGTGGGAAGGAGGATGCGTCAAGATTGATCGGAGAAGGAGAGCAAGACCTTTCAAGGTTCGGCACTATAGGGCGGATATACAAGTGATCGGCTATTCACGTATTCGAAAAAACCCGTAAGTAAATATTGTGCGTCAAAGATTTCAATGTTCTATATATTTGCCTCATATATGTTCCATACATCCAAGCTAATAGTAGGTTAGCAATAAAAAGAAGTGGAATAGAACTAGCATTGATGTGTACGTCTTTGCTCTATATTTAGTGTCAAAACTCTATAGAACCCATTTAAATTTCTTCCATGGATACAAAATATCTTATTTGAGTAAATCTAGTAGAATCCTCGATTCCACGACTCGATACTACGTTTCGATTCTGTCTAAGGAAAATCGATCCGACTCCGAATCCCGACTCTGACTACCTTGTGTATGATCATGCATCATCACCTCCTCCTTCTTTCTTCTTTCTTTAATTTTGGCAAGTGACCTTTTCCCCTCCTCTATAAATGTTCATTCTTTTCCTGATGCTAGTTCACCATGCCTAAACCCTCTCTGTCAAATTTAAGATCCTTTGGAGTTGTTTTGGTTAGGTTAAAAAATGCCTCAAGTATGAATCATATTTAAACTTGTTTTATTTTTCTACCTCTAAAAATGTCCAAACCAATTTTATCAAATAGGGCATGAATTCAGGGTCATGAGGATATTTTTATATTTCTCATACACCTCTCCTTTTCCCCTATGCTTTTCTCTTTATTTTCTCTTTGAAGAAAATTAGAGAAAAGATAACTGCAGCTTTAGGCCAGCCGCAGCCCACTTGGGCCTCCCTAGGCCAACTTCCCGCCAGCCCAGCCGGCCTCCTGCAGCCTAGGCCGGCCCATCCATTCCCCAGCCCATCTAAACCGAACCCTAGCCTATCCCTCTCGTTCCCGTGCCCGATCCCATCTCTCCTTTCCCCTGTCTCCCGCAGCGCGCCGTCGCAGGAGAGCCCCACTCTCTCCCGATCGATCTCCCTCTCTCCCTCCTCGCGCTCTCTTCGTCGTGCCTGAACCCCATGGCCTGACACCCACGTCTCCTTCCCGCCGGCTGCTTCCACCACCGTCATGCCCGCGCCCCTGCCGGTCTCTCCTTCCTCGCGCCGCACCACCAGACTCGACGCCCGGCCTCTTCCTCGCCCTGCCAATGCTCTGGCGCCGTCCCTCGCCCTCGCGCCTCCTTCTCCTACGCGCCGGCGACCTCCTGCTGCCTCCTCCACCACCAATTCAGGCCAGCTCCACCGCCCTGCCCGTCCCCGGCCGAACCTCATCGACAGGACCCGTCCCTGCCTCTGGTTCCTCCACCATCACGCCTTGTCCTTGCCTCCTCTACCGACCGCGCCGGCCACCGGAGTCGTCGACAGCCGAAGCCCGGCCACGTCGCAGCCCCTGCTGCCGGCGACCTCGCCTGGACCCGTCAAGCTCCGCTGCCCAACCTGCATCATGCCGCTCATCGGAGTCCCTCTGCTGCTCCCCTGTGTCAAGTTTGCTGCTGCGTCGTCGTCTGCATCCACCATGGCCCCGCCTCTGCTCGAAGTAGATGAACAACAGCGTCCGCCGCATGCTTCCTTTGCATCGTCACGCCCGCGCCAAGTCCTGTTTGTGGATTTAGTCAAGTTCGAGCTTCGTTGAACGAGGGCTTTTGCCTTGCTCATTTCGGGACGCGACAAGTTCCTCTTCGATAGTATGTCTACGTGATGACCTGACAAGTACCGTGGCACCGAAGACCTTTCATGCGTCAAGTCCATCTCCAAGGATTTCACCAAGTACTACGACGGCCGTTATTCGTCAAGTACCCCTTCGGATCACTAAGTTTCGGCAACCATCATCGTGAACTCCTTTCGAAACATGTATCACTAATGCCAAGTACTAGTTCTACGAGGACTGCCAACTTCGTCTTCCGTCGTCTCCAAAATCGCCAAGTACCACATCGATACGAGAACAACTACCCTCGACGTGCATTTTGCCAAGTACCACTACCGTCGACCCTCGAAGACACCATGGACGTAAGGTTTCTCGCCGTGACCCTGAACATCTACGGAAACTTGTGCGACTAAGAACGTGAATGACTACCGTCGCGAGAACGTCTACTTTCCCTACACCGCATCGAACATGAACCCCTCCGATAATGCACGCTTCGAAGGTATAACCCCGAGACCCGCCCGTGAACGAATGCATGTGTGATGTATGAGATGCTCGTGCTTGCTCCATGCTCGAATTGTCGGTGCACGTTGCCCCTCTTTTGTCTTGTCACCGTCGTCGACCCGTGGGAACCCCGTAACCAGGATCACCCCACCATCTTCTGACACGCTTCCGTCACTTTTCCTTTTGCATCGGTATCTCCATGAGCTACCGGAACCGATATGTTGTCGTGGCATCATTTTCGGATTCGTCTCCGAGGCACCCTTTCTTTCCACCACGATGACAAATGCTTCATAATGCTCTTATCAACATTTTCATTTAAATTGCATAATCTTGCATATGTCATCCGCATCATGATAACAACTTCAAGAATTTTTAAATTGTTGCTTGCTTCAATTGCTAAATGCATATGAGGATTTACCAGAATTGTTGTTTGTTATTTCTGGCCTCATTTCAACTTGCCTAAATAGGTAGTTTTTCATATGCTTCACCCTCTTGCCATGTTTAACAACATGTAATATTGATGGGTACCTAAACGAGAGAGAACTAAATAAGTCACGTGGTGTTTTGTCAATATGCAACTCGTTGCATATTGAGTTCCACTTAATTTGTAGTTTTGTTTGTTGCACTTTGCCGTGCCATGCATATTTAAACCGGACATGCATGATACTTGGTTGTGCATCATGCCATGTTATGCTTGGTTGTTTACTATGTTGTTTTCTTCTTTCTGGTGTTTCTTCTTCGGGTTAGTTCCGATAACGTCGCATTTGTGAGGATTCGTTCGACTTCGTCCGTTTGTCTTCTTCATGGACTCGTTCTTCTTCCTTGCGGGATCTCAGGCAAGATGACCATACCCTCGAAATCACTTCTATCTTTGCTTGCTAGTTGCTCGATCTATTGCTATGTCATGATACCTACCACTTGTTATATCATGCCTCCCATATTGCCATGACAAGCCTCTAATCCACCTTCCTAGCAAACCATTGTTTGGTTATGTTACCGCTTTTGCTCAGCCCCACTTATAGCGTTGTTAGTTGAAGGTGAAGATGGAGTTTGTTCCTTGTTGGAACATGGATATGTTGGGATATCACAATATCTCTTATTTTAATTAATGCATCTATATACTTGGTAAAGGGTGGAAGGCTCGGCCTTATGCCTGGTGTTTTGTTCCACTCTTGCCGCCTTAGTTTCCGTCATACCGGTGTTCTGTTCCTTGATTTTGCGTTCCTTACGCGGTTGGGTGTTATGGGAACCCCTTGACAGTTCTCTTTGAATAAAACTCCTCCAGCAAGGCCCAACCTTTGTTTTACATTTGCCTCACCTAGCCTTTTCCCTTGGGTTTCCGGAGCCTGAGGGTCATCTTTATTTTAACCCCATCGGGCCAGTGCTTCTCTAAGGGTTGGTCCAACCTGAGCGATGTCCGGTGCCCCCTGGGCAACCAGGGTCTATGCCAACCCGACGTCTGGCTCCTCCGGTGTGCCTGGAGAATGAGATATGTGCAGCTCCTATCGGGATTTGTCGGCACATTCGGGCGGCTTTGCTGGTCTTGTTTTACTATTGTCGAAATGTCTTGTAACCGGGATTCCGAGTCTGATCGGGTCTTCCTGGGAGAAGGAATATCCTTCGTTGACCGTGAGAGCTTGTGATGGGCTAAGTTGGGACACCCCAGCAAGGTTTTGAACTTTCGAAAGCCGTGCCTGTGGTTATGGGCAGATGGGAATTTGTTAATGTTCGGTTGTAGAGAACTTGAAACTTAACCTAATTAAAATGCATCAACCGCGTGTGTAGCCGTGATGGTCTCTTTCCGGCGGAGTCCGGGAAGTGAACACGGTTCTTGTGTTATGCTTGAACGTAAGTAGTTTCAGGATCACTTCTTGATCACTTCTAGTTCACGACCGTGCATTGCTTCTCTTCTCGCTCTTATTTGCGTATGTTAGCCACCATATATGCTTAGTGCTTGCTGCAGCTCCACCTCATTACCCCTTTCCTACCCATAAGCTTAAATAGTCTTGATCTCGTGGGTGTGAGATTGCTGAGTCCTCGTGACTCACATATTACTTCCAAAACTAGTTGCAGGTGTCGTTGATACCAGTGCAGATGCCGCAGCTGAGCTCAAGTGGGAGCTCGATGAAGATCGTGTTCGTTATGTTGTTTCGTTTCTGTTCGATCAGTAGAGGAGCCCAGTTGGGGCGATCGGGATCTATGCATTAGGGGTGGTCTTCTTTTATTTTGGTTCCATAGTCGGACCTTGATTGTATTCGGGATGATGTAATGCTATATTTACGTATTGTGTGAAGTGGCGATTGTAGGCCAACTCTGTATCCCTTTCTTATTCAGTACATGGGATGTGTAAAGATTACCCCTCTTGCGACATGCCTACCATGCGGTTATGCCTCTATGTCGTGCTCCGACACGTGGGAGATATAGCCGGATCGTGGGTGTTACAAGTTGGTAATCAGAGCCTTCCCCGACTTAGGAGCCCCCTGCTTGATCGAATCGGTGGCGTTGTTGAGTCTAGAAAAATGTTTTGAGTCTTATAGGATTATATATATATATCAGAGAGTAGGATTCTTTTTACTCCTCAGTCCCTTCGTCGCTGTGGTGAGGCCTCCTGACGTAGAGTTTTGACTCTTCTCTCCTAAAATTTCATGAATTTTTTGGATCACGCGGGTATCTTGGAATCGTTTTGATGGTTTTGTGATGAGAACATTGTTCTTGGTGCCTCCTGACATTTAGGGGTTGTGGCAGTGTCCCGGGGAGTTGAGCTCTGAGGTGTTGTCGTCACAATTTTATTGTTGCAGTTCTGGAATACCTGAGTTTTGCCAACATCGAAAATCTCTTTTATGTAGTTGTTGGTGAGATAACCTCGACGCCACCCAGTACTGGGGCGGGAGTTCGGGAGTATTGCCATAACTCGTATAACGGATGCTTTTCGAAGGTTGAGGTAAATGATTTCCGAGGGTTTCTTGGTTATGTGTTGAAGGATGGATACAGCTGGATGTAGGATTTGTTAGTTTTGGGTGAGATATTATGCTTACCCTGTATCCCCAACACCTGATTGCATAACCAGAAAGTTTCGGGAGTTTATAAGTGGGAATTCAAGTAGCTCCTAGGATATCTTTCCGACAGATGCATGATATGAGATTGGGGTTCAACGTCTAGTGGTCCGCCCATCCACGGTTGGTTTTACAGTGGTCTCGTTGTGTCTTAAAGAGTCCTTGGCTATGCTGACTTGGGGACGCTTCGTATGTCATGTGCACTGCCTTGTACATGATGGTGCTGTACGATCGAGCCCGTGTGGGCCCCACCATGAAAACTTTAGACAAAATCTCTATCATATTTTTGTTCCGGCTTATTTTGCAAGCCAATTCTTTGTTTTTGTTTTCAGTTGTGGTATTCGAGTTGCTTCGAAGTCAAGTGTTGATTCCATACCTTTCCTAAACGGTGTTCTCATACTCCGATGTGAATACCAATCCTTCATGATAATCAAGATTGTCTTGTCAATCCTTTTCCAACCGGTGCGCTTCTCTTGGAGATGATCCCATCATTCTCCCCATCCACAAGATAAATTCTAAGTCTTCTCAACGGTGTTTGTTTCATCCGTCCCCAAGTTGCCTTTGTTTTCCCGCCCTCCCACCCTTTTCCTTCAAGGAATCAGATTGCTAAATCAACTATCCATTTTATTCATGTGAAGTCTCTTCATCCTTTTCTTTCAAGTTTCGATCCGGTGATTTATCGTGGCGATTCTAACGGAGCTTCAAGTTCGTCATTCTTCATTCCTTTTCTTCTCCGGTGGATTTAAGCCAAGCCTTGTTGATCATATCATTTTACTCGTTTCAAATGCTTTTTCCATGCCGGTACACCTCTTAATCATCCACTTCTCGCCATTCATTTGTTCTGGAGTGCTGAAGATATCTCGAAGATTCGTGTTTCCACTCTGCATTCGTTCAATCTATTCTAAGGTTGTTAGCTCATTCAAGCCATTTAATTCAACCGGTGCAATCTCTCTTTTCAAGCAATCTCTTCAACGGTGTTTCTTTTGAGTGGGCCCTAACCCACAGGTCTTTTCCCAGGATCTTACCCGACTCTTCTTATTTTTTTCAGAGTTATTTTCAAATTCATTTCAAAGTTTGACGTAAGAATGAATTGTCATCACTCAAATGTCTTTCTCCAAGATCTTTCAAATTCTTTCATCATTGGTCAACCTTTCTATTATTCATTCCGGAGTACCTCAAAAATTCATGGTGGTGTTTCTCATCGTCATTCTCTGCATTTGAAGACCGAAGAAGAGTTCCTATTAAATCCTTACTCGTTCTCTTGAAGATTCTTGGTTCTAGCTTGATGCCATCCTCTCATAATTGTGTTCGATTGTGTCAATTCTTTTCACCCTTCCGGAGCAATTCAGGAGTCTTTTTAGTTTGTTTCTCCGGAGCACATCATCTAAGAATTATTCAATCCAACTTTCAGCTCTCGTTTCTCCAAATCTTACCGGTGCATCATTCAAATATCCTCTAATCAGTTCAGGATCTCTTCGGTATCTTCATTCATTTTTCAATTCTTCTCGATGAATTGTGCCTTTTGCTACTTTCATTTTAATTCTTACGGT